CGAAACCTCCAACTCGAAATCCGGATTCCCGGCTTCTCCAAGGCTGTTGGTTTTAGGCAGAAGTTTGTGCCCTTACTGCGAGAATTTGGTGTCCGAATGAAAGCCGAAGCCCAGGGCCGTTGTCATTGCCAGGGTCTTTTATATGAAGAAAGCACATCTTTGAAGGTATTTGAGGCCTACCACCGGGGGCCTAACGCAGTTGGCTGTGCAGGCGCTCGCACCTCGGAGCTTGATATTTGGGATGAGCTGTGCTGCGTCCAGGCATGTCCAGGCCACCCATGGTGCTCATCACATTCTACCACTGGGTCTCTGGCTCAGCGGCACAGGCCTTCTCGCATTCCTGTACAGGCGCACGTCAGCATAGCCACCGTGACGGCTTTAATCTAAGGCCAGTCTAAGTCTAGAGGTACCTGCTCGCACTCGTAGAAAACTCACCAGCAAGAATCATGTGATAGCAGCCCGCGGATCTTCGACGCGGCTCTCTCTTTTCTACCAGTCTACCAGAGAAGCTCAAAGCGATCCAGGTGCGTCAGAAGGACGTCGTCGAGGACTTGTGTTGTTTGCGGTGTTAGCCAACCTGTTTTTCTGGTGGCGGACGTTCACGCTCCCCTGAGCTTTCTCTTCTTTGAGGCTCTGGAATCTCAGGTGGGCCCAGCAAAGTTACCGCAGCGTATGCCAGGCCGACTCCAAGCCCACAAAGGAGGGCATCAAAGGCAAGCATGGAAGGGTCCAACACTGCACCGCGAATCCCGGCCAAGTTTTTCAAGTATGAGAAGACTGCATCTGGTAAGGCTTTGCCTACAAGTAGTGCAGCAAGAAAAAGGAGGAGGTATCTGTAAGGTGCGTTGGTGTCCATCTCCTCCATCAGTCGTGCACGCTCTTCCTCACTGAGCTCCCAGTATCGCTCTTCGTCGGGCATTGCTGGTGCTTTGCACCTTGAAGTCCTGGCATTGAGATTCCAACGTGTACCCACAGCAATGAGAATGGCCGCGGACACGGCGACGGGCGATGCTGTCGCCGAAGCGGAATTGCCCGTTTTGTTCTTTGTTCCGAGCTTCGTCGTGGAACTCGGGAATCGTCTGATGCCGCCGGTCAGGAGAGTTGTCTTCGGCTCCGCATGGGCTGGGTGCCACGGGCCTGCTGCACCTATCGGTAGCATCTTCCAGAATGCCTACCTGCACAATTAGGTCGTGCTTGTGCCAAGATGAAGAACATCATGCAGCGCACTAGACTGACTCACGCCCTAAGCCACCCTGATTGCACAAAGCTCAATGGCCACACAGATGCTTTAGCTTCCAGCATAGGATGGTTGCGGGCAGGCCTGTCAGTCTCCCATGAACCTCGCCAAGTAGTACTTGGAGCCTTGAGCATCACTAGCTCACCTAGAGTCGGAAGTTCAACGGGCCCTTATCCCCAGGAACCTACATGTTAGATATACAGTATATATCTATATATAAGATGCCACTACACAGTATAGAGGTTGCTGTGCCAGGACTACTATGATTCCAGCTCTCCGTCCCAGGCCTCGCCTTGCGCGAAGCCTCGACACCTTTGGCAAGCTCATGCCTGGCTTGTCAGGATAATGAAGAGTAGGGCTCCTCTAACTCTTCTGCGTTTGGCTCCCTTCGAGCAGAGATCCTAAGTGCTTCTCTTTTGCATCCTGCACCTGCAAAAAAGAGAGGACGACTATTGGTGCTCTGAGCTCGAAATCTCAGGTGAGGCGCATCTGCGCTCCGAAGACCCCAAAACTCGCGTCCGAAGCCTATGCCAAAGCTTCCGCAACCAACCCGTCCACTCGAGCCTCAGTGCAAGGAGCTCTCCTTTGGCACGCTCCTGCCCAAGCAGATCATTTTGTTATCGCAACGTTAGGGAGGTTTTGGGGATTCGTAGCAGCGCCTGGCCTTCGGGAAGTGCATGATACAGGCGGCTACGAGATGCTACGAGTACAGATTGTCCCAGGCTCCCTCTTGCAGGCCGGAGCTTCTGCCGGGGGCTCCTGAATCGAAGCTTCCCTCTCCAGCTTCTTTGCGAACTCGTCCCGCTGCGCCTCCCAACAACCACGAATCCAAGTGCAGACATGCCGGGCGCAGCCGTGAGCCCCCCAAACTCTACACTTTCGGACACTGGTGAGTTTGCAAGTCAATCTGAAGCTTCCAAAGCCCAAGAACTCGGAGAGCTTCCCAAGTGGGGGGCCTGGCAAGCTGCATCCCGCTCCAGGATCTCTACGGACATCGTCTCCCTGGGCGTTCGGGAGGGTTGAGACGAAGCGATCCTTAACGAGCGCTTAAGAGCTTCTGCAAGATATCAGCACTGTCCGGGATACGACGACCGGCGGGGCCACTGTGCACTACTCGCAGCAGCGACCAACTCGTTTTGCTTCGCAGGATCGCCATCGGAATCCTTGACATGATGGCATCCTGATCCGCTGGGAACGAAACCTCGCGCGGGCGTGCCCAAAAGAGATTCAAGATCTGTAAAGATGCTAAGGTGCTAAATAATTAATTTCTGGACCTGTGACTGTTGTCAGGAGCTTCTGTCCAAAGTCCAGCCAAGCTGGTGCAAAACTAAGCTAACGCACACCTGCGAACTTCCGTGTGGCACCAGTTCCTCCTGTACTCAGCATTCCTCACTTATGGAAGAAGTGCCTTGGAAGATTCACAAGAAGGAGTTCGCATGGCACCGGTGCAGCACTCGCTTTTGGCGTCTTCACGGCACAATTGGCACTGCTCTCCGCCGCAGCCATGACACTTGCTGTCGAAGCAGCTGGTCACTGCCTCCTCTTTAGAGTCTATGCACATCTTTGGGGGATTGACGGAATGGTAGTGGTCATCGCAGCAGCCCGCAATCGTGTTTGCATCCTGGCGGCACAGCTGACACTGCTCACCACCACAGCCATGGCATTTGGTCTCCACGCAACTCTTGACATCCTGTTCCCACGCGCATTGCAAACTATCGGCACCATACATCCCATCGCAGGGATCCTTGGATTCGGCCTTGCACATGTCGATCCCTTCGGTTCCGGAGCAACAAGAGTTGAGAGTATTCGCATCTTCGCGGCAAAGCTGGCACTGCTCGCCTCCACATCCCCTACACATGTTTTCCATGCAAGATGACACACAAGCAGAGACGGTGTTTTTGTCTTCCCGACACAGCTGACACTGCTCACCACTGCAGCCACGACATTTGCTTACGACGCAATCTTGCACTGTCTCTGCTGAAGCCAATGCCACCAAGCTGAGGACAAGAGCTCGAGCCATGGCCGGAAATCTGATCAAAGAGCGGCAGACAGGCGCTTTGAATCTCCTGCGAAAGCCTTCTTGAGCCATGAAATATATGAAATGAATGCAGGCATGGCAGCTGAACCCGAGATGCAGCCTTTGCGTGCTGACAGTGCGCTGAGGACCGAGGAAGAGGCAGCTCAGATCGCAAACGCGCAACTTTGGCAGCCTGACATCCAAGCATCAATTATGGCCGACCGATAGGCTGTGCACAGCTCAGCAACTGCCTCTGTGCGAACTTCCTCGTCGCTGGCCTTCTTCTCCTGTGAGACATCAGACGCCGCAAGAGCTTTGATCTGCCATGCCGCTCGTTTCCCTTCAACTCTTACTGATCCTGCAAAATTTTCATGCAATCTGCACAACATCCTCTGACCCTGACCTTCAGCATGTCCCTCAGTAACAAGAACACTCTCAGCAAATGCCACCGGGTTGAGCATCGAATCATCTCCAGTCAGGTGCGTCTTCTTGCATGAGCGGCCTCTGTCCGAAAACCTTGCTCTACATTCGAGGTTGATCTATCTACAAAACCAACGGACACGACATGATGAAGCACGGCTTTGCTCGTGCATGAGTGGACTGCGCCTCTCGCAAGGCAGCCAGGTCCCGGCTCAGCCGCATTGCCAGTGCCTGTGCCGCGGCTCAGGAGCCGAAAACTCCGAGCGTCATACTAGTGGCAAAAGAAACACAATCGCACAACTCTGGTCCTTCTACTGCTGGTCCAGTCCTGCCTCCGACTTGCTCTGCTTCTCCTCTGCCAATCCCAGGGACACCGTGAGGCGACCTGCCTCAGCAGAAGCAAATCTGACCTTACTTGTTTGTATATTGAGGTAGAATGAAAACATTCATGTGGCTGCACCGGAAATTGCAATCGACATCCGCAGCCTCCTGGCAAAGCTCGGCCACCTGCGGGCTTCGCGAGCTAGAACTCTGGAAATAAGATTCCAGATGTCGGGCTCAGAGTCTTCAGGGCTGATCATGCCAAACCAGAGATGCGGAAAAGTTGGACGTGCCTGACTTTGACACAATTTGGCAGAATATCTTCGAGAAAAAGGCAAACCTTCGTGGACTTGATTGTCAGCTTGAGGTCTTGATCTCAACTTCGCACCTGACGCCTGACAGTGAGAACCTCCCTCTCAACGGCAACTGGGAGCACCCATGCGTGAACTACCGGTGCTAGCACGCAACCTTACAATGATGAGCCTTCTTTCCGTAGCATCCACCACCTATGTCAGAAGTCTGCGACAGACGTGCATCGAGCACGATCCAGCAGATAGGGATCAGGTGCCAAAGAGGGGCTTGGAAGCTTCATGCTCCGCTGCTCCACTTTATCCTTCAACATCTCACTTCCCGTTCTTTCAAACCTCTATGCTAAGACATGTCTGACTACGGTCAATGTCAAGCTCACACCCGCGACAGGCGCAGCATCTCAATGAAAAAATGTGATGAAGCCACTGGTTTCCGAAATTAAAATCACTGCGGCCAAACGCCGAGGGGTCTACAAACCGGACCTCGGCCCAGTTCAAGACAAACAGCAGGTGGACAGTCGTGCAACAGCTGGGAATCCGAAATGCACGAGTTCTCCGCCTGCAGTGAATTCGATCAATGCTATTCCATGCTCACCGAGTGCGCTATGGACTCTGAGCAGGGCAGGTTTAACCTGCAGAGCTCCGTCTAACCTTTTGACAGAGTCTAGCGTAGCATCTTGATAGTCGCAGGAAGATTTCAAAGCTCGGGGTAGTCTGTGTGATGTGCCAAAGCCGCAGTCCACGAATCTTTACTAGACCCTGCTGACCGAAAGTGGATCGAAGCAGAAAAGTGAACATGCACGTAATACTGCTTGTGACAGTCAGCGTGCATGGGACCGATGCAGCACTGCCTTGCAATGCGCAAAGCAGTGCGTTCAGTGGTCAGGGTTTTCAGTCCCTGATTCAGACATCATCGTCTCGAACCTTAAAGGTTGCATTTATCCACGAGGATGCCCCCCTAGTCGCATCATTCAAGTTGCAAGAAAAAACTGTCCTTTCACAGTCCTTGGACACAACATCTACTGTCTGTGTCGCGTGGTTGCGAGCCAAAGGCTCAAAACCTGAGCCCGCTGCTCTTTGAACTCGATCCTGGGCATGAACGCAAGACGTCGTGCACCATGCTCGGCTCGAAATCAAGCACATCCCGCATTGTCTTGCCGCGCTCTCAAACCAAGTGTCTGCCCGTTCCCGTTCTCATCACACCATGTCATGATCCTCAGCAAAAACAGCTTCTCCTGTATGGTGGCGCATGCCAACTAGGTCGAATGCAAATGAAATAATCGTCACCACATCCTTCGAGCTTCAACCCCTGCTACTGCTAGTCAATTGGTGGTACTGCTACTGGTACTGGACGACGAAAACTACGACGACGAAAACTCTTACTGCTGCTACGGACGACGACGACGACGACGACTACTACTACTACTCCTCCTGCTGCCGCTTCTGCTCCTCCTCCAGCTCCTGCTGCTCCTCCTTCTCCCCCTCCTGCTTCTACTACTGCTACGACGACGACTACTACTACCACTACAAGTTCGAGCTCGAGTTCACATTCAAGTTCGAGTACAACGGCGACAACAACAACAACAACACCCGCAGCAAACAACAACAACAACAACAACAACAACAACACCAACAGCAAACAACAACAACAACCACACTGCAAGCACGAACGTTCGCGAAGCTCACTGATCTGCTCTGGACTCATGAGAGCGCACAACAAGCTGGTTTTGCGCTCAGGCATGGGGT